GTGGTGGATGCCCCATCCCTGGAAACCTTCAAGGTCAGGTTGGACGGGGCTCTGAGCAACCTGATCTAGTTGAAGATGTCCCTGCCCACGGCAGCGGGGGGGGCTTATAAGAAAGATGGAAACTTTTTATTCCAACCCAAACTGTTCTATGATTCTGTATTTACTAAATGCTGAATTCGTGATAAATATTTCAAATGTTGACCATATTGGTGAATCTTATTTTAATGTCCAGTTTTGCTTTGTTTTTTTCATTCTAGATAAACTTTCCTTGGAAGGAATAGTGGTGCAACGTGCTGAATGCAGACCTGCAGCTAGTGAAAATTATATGAAACTGAAAAGGTAGGAGTGCTCTATTACAAATGGATATGTGATATCTGACTTTGATGCTTTTATTATTGCCTTACTAGGGATGGGTGACTTCAGTATTATCATGGTCTCACATAGGATTTATACAGGATCGGAACTGTTCTTGCTTTTGGGGTGAATTTACTGTAGGGAAGGAATGAAGGCTGGTGTGGGGCTTGTACCTCCCTCTGGTATTGTCTGGTGGGATGATGCAGACTTCTGCGTTCCATCATGTGCAAAACTCTTACTCGAGCACACATCGTGTCTATTCATACCCGAATGTACGAATGTATGGCTATATTCAAATGTGATTAAAGCTGAATTTCCTGAGGACTTAAAGGTTTACATTGGTCAGGTCAGGACAAGCTTCTTGCGTATGGGTTTCTGTGTGGATCGTCCAAATTTAATTCCACTTAATACTGTGCCATGCTAGATGAAGAGCACCTCTGAAAAGATATTTAAAATGCCCCAAATAGGAAAGAGTTCAGGGAGAAGTGCTAGACCTAAACTGGCATGCTTGCTAGAAAAGGTAATGGCTGAAAGTGTCAGAAGTGGCATGGAAACCACAAGACATAAATTTAACAGAATCATTTAGTGACTTTTGAAAATTTAATCCGATACATCTAGAATTTACCATGTGATTCATATATCACGTGGATAATTAACTTGATGATGTTCTCTAGTAATAAATCAGATTTTGAATTGAATTGTGCATTACATGAAATACATACTTGCATATTTTAAGCATGTGGGTTTTAATTAAATCACCCTTTTATATTGTGAGTTTGTTGTAAATAGAGAAATGCAAAGCAGGAAATTTCAGGAAGAGAATCATTCATGACTAGTTTTAGAATCGTCAAAAGAAATGCACAAAAGGCAAAATCATGTTTTTCCCCAATTCCTGATCTGCTTTCTGTCTATCATATACTACATTTACAGTATCTTATGTTTTATTAACCTCCTTTGTCATCTAAACTGCTCCAGTATTTCTTTACTGTGTTTGTTCAATTCTGAGACTTTCTGTTCTAGCTGTTGGCAAATCAGTACCATAAGTTTGCTCATGTACAGTGAACTACTTCATTTCAGACTGTGTCCTATGATTGCTATCATGATTTTTGTCATGAGTGTGAAATGGAGTATGAAGCAAATGTGATGTTAGTAGAAAAGGACTCATTTCAATCTGGCAATTTTAAATATATACAAATATAGTCTGTGGGATGTATTTACTTCATAACTGTTTTAATCACAGGTTGACTGATCCAAGTGCTTTTTTGCATTTTGTACACAGTCTTCTATTAGTTGATCAGATAAGCTTCTTCTGGTAAGGCCACAGCAGGAGACCAAAACAAAACTGATAGCTTTAATGACATACTACCCAACCTTTGAATTTTTCAGCATTCTACTTTCTGTCACGCACGCATGCATACAGCCCCTCCTGATCTTTGATTTTGTTGTGTTCAACTCCTATAGGAGCAACAAAGATACAAACATGAAGGCAGGTTTTGTGTTTGGAAGCACTGGCAGCTGAAAACTGACAGTAGTGTTGTTTTTCCTTTCCTGTAGAAAAACTGTCAGGCTGTCTATGCCTAGTTTCTGACTTCCATGTTGTTAAAGATTTTTCGCCTTTTATCAAAAAGTTAAAAAAAAAACCCCACACTTATCTGGTGGGAACCGGCATGAGATTTAGCAGATCTAGCAGTCACAGCCTCAGAAGAAATTGGTTTATGTCCAAATACCGTCTCTGGTATTTCAGTAGTAGGATCTAACTTTTCTCTTCATTCCCTTTACTCTCTCCCACTCTCAGCGTACTGCAGTCTGTATTTGTGCTTTTAAAAAGTGACAGCATTGAAGATAAACTACATAAGTTATAGAACTGTGTTATATTAAACCATTTTTATTCACTTTTCTATTTACTATTGTGCTTTACATGAGAGAGACTCTCCAAAGGTGGAATTGATAATATTGATAAAACAGCAAGTCTGTTGTGTAGGCTTTAAGTGCTACAATAATAAATTGAGTCAGGAAGGAAATAAAAGATAAATGCAGTTGCTTCAAACTTTGAAGATCTGAAAATGAAGTTAAGCTGCACACCCCAATAACTGTAATAATTTGTTTCTGAGAGCTGGCAGTGGCCAAAAGGGATTATATGCCTCCCTAGTATTAAATAGAGATATGGAACCCCTCTATTTTACCCTCTGTATCTGGGTCAAGGAAATCGTCTGATGGATACGTGGTGTGGCATTTGATTTCTATGCTGCTCTGTAGAGTTTCAATGAGAGGACAAAGTGATGGTCTTGTGATGGGGCTGCCAGCAGTTAGGTGGGAGATGTGTGTGGGTTTAAGGATGGGTAATGAAAGCACAGAATTTGGTGACACTTACTGGTGAAAGCGTTGTCAAACGTATCAGACGTGAGGGTTTTTTCCCAAGGAGCAGCTTTTGATTGGATTACAGGAAGGTTGTAGATGGCTGATGTTCAGAACACTTTGAATACAAGGTACAAATGTGTGTCTAGGGATAACTAGTCAGAAAGGTAGAACAAAGGTTGTGTGACCTTCACTTGGTATTTTCCATTTTCGAAGTTTTGTGGTTGGCGGGTTTATTTATTTTTTTCCATTGTCCTGAACTTCAAGTTCTAGAAGGGGAACAGATAACCATGAAACACCTGCTATCCTGCACTAGTAAAGCTTCATGCTATTGAATTTTCTAGAAATTTTTTATTAATAATGTGTTTGTTCTTTGTAAAACCTTAGTGATTAGTTATACATTTGCAGTTACTGCTGGTGATGCTGTTGTGGCTAGCTGGAAAATAATATGTGGTTTCCAAGCACCTGTCCTAATTTCTGTTTTGTGGGAGTGGATCTCATGGTCCCACTTAAAAATATTTGGACTGTGTGGTGAAAAAAATAGGCAGACTGTTCCCAACTGTGGATGGTTTTACTGTGTGGTGGTCACAGAAAATACTGTCCCTACACTACTCTTTCTGGTTGATACTTCCCTTCTTGCCCCATCAAGCCTGTTGGATGAAGGAAGGTGGTGGCATGTGAACTGTTGTAGCAGAGGGTGTGTGTCACAGGTGGAATTACACGCATGGCTCATTGTACGGCACACACTGTATTTGCACCAGTCTTGTGCCCCCGCCATCCATGTCACCTTAGGTAGGCTGTCTTTTCCTTCTGCCAAGCTGCCCTAGGCAGGCTCCACATCCACCCCAGCCAGTCCCACCCGAACCGGACTATTTTCTTCATCTTACTGTAGTCAGCTTTCACCATGAGGAGGCATTATCTGTCCCTTAATTTTGTCTTTCTGAGGCTTAAGAGATTTTTGTTTGCATTACCTGTATTCCATGATCCCAGTGTTTAACCGCCTTGGGATTAATGACTCCCCAAAGAGAGAGGTCCTCCAAGAGGCTTGTCTGCACTGGGAAGGACAGGGCACAGAGAGAGAGGAGTCCCCCAAACATTCAGGATCCCCTCAGGCTCCAGATGACTTGAGAGGAGATGAGAATAAGATTTTGATACTCCCAAGGGGCTTTTGCTATGCACAAAAGAGGGAAAATGGGGGACTGGCATGTACCCCATCTCAGATTCGCTCTGCCAAATTACCTGTTTCCATCCTTGCACTGGTCCTCACGTCCGTTCTGTTCGTCCCTCTGACCATAGCGAACCCTCTTCTTCCCCAATTCTTTCTCAGTCCCCCTTTCCCATTTCTGTTTACTTCTGTTTCTCCATTTCCTCACAGAAAGAATTTTATTTTCAAAAATAATTTGAACACATCGTTATCATATATACTCAAACTACATTGCATTTTGAGGAAAAGTTAAGAAGAAGAAAAAAAAAATCTCTGGGAGCGACTTCTGCAAAGCTCTGATTCAAACTGATATTGTCAAGTTGAGTAGCTGCAACAAGGTCTCCGGGACTGCTCAGGTTCTTTGCAATGGGGTGGCCGGGCACCAGGCTCTTAGTTCTCAGGGGAGGTTTTGAAGGCACATGCAAAGTGCAGCTCAAGCAATTGTTGAATGCAGTGTTTGATAGCACTTCCCCAACAGTAGTGGATGGCAGGCAAAAACTGGGATGAAGTCAGAGCCCTTGTTTCATTCTCAAATGTGCTGGTGAAATGCTGGTCACCTTTTGAAATGGATTTTGGGAGACTCTGATTCAACTACACATAATCTGAATTACGGAACTCTCCCAAACTGTACACCAAATAAAAAAAAAAAAAAAAGAGTCCTGGGATTACAGAAAGCCTAGAAGAGCTGACATTTAAACCGCCCCAAAACGTTCCACAAAAAAAAAAAAAAAAAAAGAGTCCTGGGATTACAGAAAGCCTAGAAGAGCTGACATTTAACACTGCAGTGAAGCTGGTAATCCCTATAATTCTCTGAAGTAGTTTAGAAATACATCTTGAAGTATCGTTCGTGAAAACGGTAGTTGCCAACATGGCAGCTTGTAACAAGGCTGCAAGAATTTTGTATACCTTCTTGCTTTTTCTTTTAAGAATTTTCTATAGAGAGTGTGATGAAAGTCCTTAGAAAAAGCTACTGGAAAAAACATGTATGATAGGCTTTTAGGAGAAATGGGTTGCAAAACATTCTAGAATAATTCATGAGCTTCCACATTTGAAAAGTCACATATTTTTACAACCATATTACAGAGGCCACTAGAAGTCCTGACACTTGGTGGTCTAGGCCAAGCAAGTGAAATTTAATTAGTGCAGACGAGTTGCTCATCTTCTCTAAAATACTGTGAGAGTATTGACTGACTGACAGTTCAGTGTATTGCTGAAAATGAGCATTATGCCAGTTTTTTTCCCCGAATACCCCCTACTAGCAAAAGAAAATGAATAATTTGACCAGCATGACACTTCATATATATTCTTGTAGATATGCTTAGTTGGCTATGAATTCCATTTCAAAATAAATATGTATGAATACATTCGTGCATTTTCCACAAAAGCTGATGCGCTGCACAAATGCTGTTCAGTTTGTTTGAAGTGG